CCCTTGCCCTTATTGCTGCTGTTCTCCTTGCCCTCCTTGATGTCCTTGCCTTTGCCCTCCGTTTTGTCCGGTGACTTCATCTTGTCCCCAGCAGGGCATTCATGTTTGCGATGACCCAATGAGGAGCATATCCAACAGCGATCATTCTTGTCCAGGACTCATGCCCAAATCTGCATGATGCCCCCCCGCGCACAGCCCGTAGAGGTACACCAGTTCCGACACGCTACTTTCGTCACAGGTTTCTCGGAACCCTGCTGAAGTTGTTTGACTTTCGCCTCAGGTGCTTCTTTGCGATCTCCTGCCAATGCAGCAGTGGTCAGCTCCGCCTGCAAAAGTTGGGCAAACCGTGTAACCACATTCTGCTGCGTGGTGGTGTCCAAATTGTTGGAGTGCCTCCATGATTGCACCCTGAAGTTGATCTGCGGCTCTTTGTTGAGGATCTGCCTGCATATGGGGTCCAATGCCCCAATCTGCAATACTGGGTCTGGTAGTGTGACTCCCAACTCCACCGCTCTTGCCACATTTCGGGACCAGAGACGAAGCTTCTCCACCCCATCCGTTGGCGACGTTGCAGTTTCCGGTGCCGTCAGCGCCCGAAGCAGGCCGGATTTCTCACCCAGTCCTCCTGGCTGGAACCTTTTCATGACTTCAAGCATAATGGAGGCCGCGGTCAACTTTCGGTTCGCAATGATGTCTGACTTGATCGATGAGGGTAGCGCAGCCAGTAACATGCTCGTTACACGACCTTCAAGCCTTGTTCACCTGCACATCGACTTCCAGGCGGGTCAATGCATCGGATGACAGCCACACCTTGTAGACTGCAGTAACCTCACTCATGAGTTGCGCCCACCAGCGTGCTGCCCCACCCGAGACGTCCCCAATTAGCGGTTCGATCTCTGTGATCCAATGCGCTTTCATCCACGGCAATCTCGGAAGCGTCACATTGATTGCCCTCAGGTCATCCTTCGGCTCATCTTTTGCAGAAAGGTCTGGACTTCTTGGACCCCAATCAAAATTGGCTCCTCCCCCGTCAGGCTTTTTCACCTCAACTGACATAGGAGGAGGTGGTGGGACACAGCCTTGGCCTGGTTGCTGTTCGTCTGCATGCATCCACAACCCATCTGACTTTTGCCACACCGGTACCCCATGTCCTCCATGTTTGGTTTCATGGGTCTTCATTCTGCTCTTCAGCTCTTGTAGTTCTCGCTCATGCCACTGAAGACGGGCGACTTGGAATCGGCCTGAACCATTGCATGGCGCATACACACCATCCACTACAGTCCAGTTGCCGCCCTCCAGTTCCGTCGATCCAGAGGTGGGACCAGTCTTCCCCTTTCCCTCTCCATCACATAGTTCATGCCATCGGGAATAGACCCCGCGGTCAAAACCTGCATGTCGGTGCAACCCGCCCCCACAACCTTCATGGTGTAGTTCACGTTGTCGACGTTCCCAACTCGACCACTCTCCCGCTGAGCGCCCTTGCTCAAACTTCGACCATGGCCAAGGTGGAATCTCTGGCAGTTCACCTCGTGGTTCATCCAGTGTCTGCGGCGGCGTTCCCGGTGGAACCTGCGTGCCACCCGGTGTTCGTCTCAGGTGCACTGGCTGTTCCATCGGCGTGAACATAGCCGTCGTTGGTGTCTTTGGACCAGGAGTTCGATCTTGGTGACATTGCCCTCTAGTGATCTTCAAGGCCTTCACCTCGTTTCGAAGCTCCTCATTCTGCCTACGAAGTTCTTCCACCATTTGAAGTTCAATTGCTGGCTGAAGATCATCCTCCCGACCCAGGCGATCCCATCGACCTTTACCTTGATCGAGCCGTTGATGTTCTCCCAGCTGTAGACCTGGTACCCCACGATCTTCTTGCTTTTCGGCCTTTCGATGACATCATTCCGAGCCAGGTGATCACGTTGACCTTTACCCTGATCAAGTCGCTGATGTTTTTCCGGTTGTTGACCTTGTACTCGATGGTCTTCATACGGCCGCCGTTCTCTCAGTCGCAACTCCATTGCCTTCTCTCTCCCCTCCACAGGTTTCCCCATCCAGCTCGTCGGTGGCATCGCAGAACCAGCAGGGTTCTGTGCACCTGAACTGTCCTTCACCTCAGGCCAGCCCGGTTGGATATTGATGGCTTTCTGGAGCTCCTCTTCAGGGTCTTTCCAGAGTTCTTGTGGGCCTTTTTCCATATCCTCACCAGCACTGATGGCACAGCCGCCGTCAGCCGCCGTCATCCAGGGACTTCTCCTCCATGTTCTCCTGGTCTGCATCAACACTCAGCAAGTTCAGGAGGTCGTGAGCCTCAGGGATCATCTCTTCCGACTCACCCACTCCGCTCACACCCGAGTCACCTTCAGGGACCATTGGGAGATCTTCAGGTCTCGCCTGCTCTAGCACAAATCACTCCTGAAGTTCCTGCGACCAGAACGGGTTTGCCATGGGAGCCAGCTACCAGTCCGGATCTGGGTGGTCTTAAACGAAAAGCGTTGGGCTCATAACCTGCAAAAACAGGCAGAGCAGCGCGCACCTTTCTTGTGCTAAAAGGGCCTCCGGTACATGACATGGTCTCACGTCAAGTCCAGTTCTCATGGTCCATCTCTACGCTCAGCCTCTACGCTCAAAAAGCGAGTGTCTTGTGTCAAAAGGAATTAATCCCGGACTTTCTGGTTGTTGTTCGACAGGGATAGTTGTTGGTTCGATAGTTGTATCCTGGCATCATTCGCACTGTTTCTTGCAGGCTACAAATCATGTCCTGATTGAACGCAATGCAAATCTTCATAATAAGCAGGACTCCAGGACGATTTAGTTCAACCCGGTCCCAGTACCTTCTTCACAGCTGCCCACCAATCGTGCACTGGGCCCGAAATGGACATATTTTGGTATTAATGGTCCTGCTCATTTCTTTGATTAGGGCGGTTTCGTTCTGAGTTGAAGTACTACAGGGACCCAGCTGGAAAAGTGTCAGTCCACGACTTGGAGACTCAAGCTCGCTGCTAGAGCCAAGCATGAAAAGCGGCAGCGTTGGATCATGCCGACATCCTTGTTGCATTCCACTATTTGTGTCCCTGTTCTGTATATCTTGAGCGCGTGTGGCGTGTGCCCCCACTAAAAGAAACCACTCCCCCAAGCCTGCAGCTTCACAAAGGGTTGCTCCATGCCGCTCGTGGCCCAGTCATGAATACGGAAACCGAAGCCCTCCGCAACCGAGGTCAAAGCGGCATCAAGCCGAAGCCATCCGCGTTTGCTCGGTCCGACTCGGTCCGACTCGGTAGCACTCGAAGAGCTGACCAGCGGCGATGCCGCGATGCCGCAAGCTCAGTCTATAGTCGATCTGGACGAAGGCTCCTGCAACACTTCAATAGGAACTGATCAAACACCCAAAAAAACACTTGACACTTGGGGCGAAACATCAACGAAGAACTGACAAAACTCCACCTGGCATCCAGCTCATTAAAGGCCGCTTAGACTCAGACCAAATCACCAACCGCGGATGGCCCAGCCATGTCCATAGAAAAGAACATTGAAGTGCACCAAAGATGCTACAACTATAAATTATAAAGAGGTGTGGAAAGCGTCGTGTCTTTTCTGCTTGTGATTCCTCCTCGTCTTGTGCGAGATTTATAGGGCCCTCACGCTTGGCAAGGTCAAAAGTCAAAAGCAGGCCAGCTTCGCCTACGTCAAAGCAAAGGCGCCAAGCAGTGACAAAAGCACTGGAGTCACTAGAGTCACTAGAGCGGCTTGACACGCATTTCGGTACAAATAGAGGGCATTGGTGAGGCCGCAGAATTCTCCAATGCAACCTCCAAGTATCATGAACACGTAGTACCCGGCGCTGGTACTGTACGACAACCCCTGGCAGGTTTCCCAAACACCACAAGCTGCTGAAGTTGTGACAATGGTGGTTTCAATATGGGGTGTCTGCTGCGATCGGATTCCCGGGAGAACACGGACCGTTGCCCAGTGCTTAATGATGGATTTTCATGGTCGGCGGGGCGGGTGGCTCGGGCGCAACACAAGCGACACCTGGTGAAGTGCCAACACGTCGCAATTATATAAAACCTTTCACTAGTTTGGGTATCGAACGGGTTTGCCTCAGGTAGGAAAGTGCTTGTCACTATCACTGACTATCACTACCACAATCTCTGCAATGCCCAAAATGATCCATTTCAAGCGTTCTAAATTTGGTCTTCGGTTGCTTGGAGCCTAACTATCGAAATTGCAGCGCTCCACCTCTTCGAAACGTTCCGTTTAGCTGCTGCTGGGCGGCTGCTTGTCCCCACACACCAGTTGTTCCGGGATAGTCAAAAGCACCACCATTCCACAACACCTTCCCCGTGGAAGTCTGCTTGGTAGTGAAGGCGGTGTACGTGGCGCGGTAAGTTTCGTCAGGCTTCCACACATCTTTTCGTGGACGCGCCCCTCCCGCCAACTTTAAACTGGTCCCTGGTTGGAATCTGGTCCCTGATGCGAATCCGAAAGGCAGCCTTAGCAATCAAGAACTCAAGGCCACGGGAGAACGAGTACTCTGGATGCTTCGCAAGCTGAAGTGAGTGGCATGCACTTGCACCAGAACGCTGCTACTTGGAAACGGTTTTGGACAAAACCGTCTTTGGCAAAACCCTCCCAAGTTATCCGCCGACCCCGGCTTAGCACGCTAAGTGGGCGGGCGGCGCCTGGGACACCGCAGGGTGAACCTCACCTTTGGCCAGGCACTCTGGAAAAGCTGTGTCGGGGCGTCACCTTGCCGACATATGGGGCAAAGCTCCAACACCATGAGCTCAGGATGAACATGGGCTGCCACGCCCCTGGCCGTGGGCTTGCACACCTTGCCTTACAGAACAACATGGGCCAAGGGCTTGGCACAGCCCCGCCAAGCCTTGGAATTGCGGCTGGAAAGGGCACCAAACAGCAGATTCGAAACTCAGTAAAACACATTTGGCACAAGCCCACGGCCAGAGGTGTGGCAGGCTCCCTTCGCCAAGCCCTTCGCCCACGTTGTCCTGCGCGCGAATGCAGCTGAAGGGTGCCGGACAGCAGCTTCGAAGTAAAAGAAAATGCGCACAAATCCACAGAAAGGGGCGTGGCAGGCTCACTCCGCCAAGCGGTTAGTTAGAACCCACGTTGTTCCGCACGGAATTGCCCGCTAAAAAATAGAAGGCTGGCGTAGGCTCACGGCCGGAGTCCCTTTGCCCATGTTGTTCTGCGTGCACTTGCGGCCGGCCGCTTCAGACAGTGAGAGCTTCTGTCCACTGAGCGTAGAGCTTTTGTCTACGTTCATTGACATCTTTACAAGAAGTCCGAAGCCACAACTGGTGCACATAGTAAGGTATTTGTATGCGCAAGATGGCACGAACGCAAGCATCTTGCCCACTCCGAAGCCCCCTTGAGATACACATGCGCGCGGAAGACGACACAAACGCAAGCATCTTGCCCGACCACAAACAACCCCTTGAGATACACATGTGTCATGTGAGCGCAAAACGACACACGCAAGCATCACCCAAAAAAGAACCTTGAGATACACATGAAGATGCGAGTGAAGATGCGCGATAAAACCGAGTGAGTACGCAAAAACGCGCAACGAACCCTCGGAGAAAACATGGGACAGTTATGAATTCCAAAGTTCACTCTGTTCTCACGGAAAAGCTTGCGCGGCAACAGCGACTTTGCTCCGCAAATTCCGCTAGTAACATTGCAAAAGCACACAAAGCACACAACACTAAATACATAATTGAAAGATATGGGAAATTTAACAAACTACTGTCTCAAGCAAATCCATCTGGATATATGATATAATATATGTATGTACTATATATTGTATATCTTGACGCTGCCAAGAATTGGCCACACAAATGTGACCACTTACAAGCCAAGGCTCATAGTGTGAAACATCCGCTCGGGGCTTGTGTCTGACAGCAATTCCAGCGATAACGGTGTGCCTTACTGCCGCCGCTTTCAGAACAAAAAGCCGAAAACAAAATCTGATATCACAATCCATTACAGTTGACTTTTGTCGGCGCTGCTGGGAAAAGTAACTACTCTACTTTGAGGGTTCAAAAGCCTAGATTCAAAACGTTGGCTTTAGTTTACGGTAAGATTACTTTCCACTCTTTCCACCTGGCGCGGGCAAGTCAAAGATAATCAAAGCATCTGATTGAGTTCTTGGGGGTCGGGGTGGCATCAACCGCGGCCTTGGCTTGGGAGTTGGATAGGCTCAGGCCTTGCCTTGGGGTGGACCTTGAACCCACCATGCCATAGAGCGTTTTGAACCTAGTTTTAGTTTTCACTGGCTTGTTGCTGGACTTAGATAACCGTACATGGAGTGTCTGGAAATCACTTCTTGGAAAGCGGGGTAGATCGCTTTGACCAGCCGACCATCCTCCATAAAGCAAAATTGTTCATTGCTGGGACTGTGAAATCTGCGAAACTGCTGGTTTACAGCCCTCTTTTGCTCAGGTTGCTGATCAAAATTCGGGAAGGTAAAGGTAATTCTTTGCAAATTCTTCACGCAAAGAAGACTATCCTTCGCAATTTTTTTGCTTGTCCATTGAGAAGTTGGCATGCCCCAGAAGGGGCCCTTCAAAAGATTTTTAGCAAGAAAACGTTTTTCGCGCGCAGACCTCATTGTTTTGCGAATTTCTTTTGCGAAGGCTTATGAACACCAGAGGTCCATCAAGGGCCTGACCAACTCCAATGTAGCTGCGCACTGGCGGCAAGCATTGGTACATAAGGTACACCTTTTGTTTGGACGTTATGTTTGGTGTATTTGGTTGGAATCAACTACAGGGGTGGCCTACAAGAGTGGCCCAAAGTGTCCTACCAAAGTGTTGTTCCACAGGTTTTTCCCATAAAACTGTCCTGCACGAGTGGCCTGCAAGAGTGTCCTACTAGAGTGTCAAAACGGCCTGCAGTGATTTTTGATTAGTGATTAGTGGTATGGGGCCTGAAAAGGGCTTTGCACCAAGCAAATAGAAGGCATGGAATGGCCTGTATATAATGATTGGACGTGTCTGGAGGCTGTGCCCTGACTGAATTCTATTTTATGCTTTTATTTGTAGAAGTAGTGCCTGAACAGGCCTACCTCATTTTTAGATCTGTTTGCTGTGATAAGGGCAGGCAAGGCCTGTTCAGAAAAATGTCAAGTCAAAACAGCCTAGAATGCTGCAGTGACTTTTGATTAGTGGTGATGGGGCCTGGCCTGCAAAGGCTTTGCTTGCCACCTGAATGCTGGCCAAATTTTTTTGGAACCCAGTTAGGCCCAAAGAATCTTGCCACCTGACTGCCCTGGAAATTGTTGGATCCCAGTTAGGCCAAAGAATCTTGCCACCTGACTGCTGGCAATGATTTTTCCTCACCTGTCGGGTGAGGGTTGTTAAGCTTTATATAGCTACTTCTCGTCCTCCTCCTCGCCTCCTCAACCGCAAGTGTCGGATGGCAGCGTTCGCTGCCGGACCTCAACCGCAAGTGTAGGACGGCGGTGTTCCCTGGCCCTGCCACACCTCAAACCACCAGCTCCCGACGGCTGTGTTCCCCACCGGACCTCAACGACCAGCTTCTCCGCCCGATGGCAGTGTTCCCCGCCGGACCTCAGGACCTCAACCGCCAGCTCCCGACGGCTCGGTTCCCCGCCAGACCTCAACCGCCAGCTCCCGACGGCAGTGTTCCCTGCTGGACCTCGACCGCCAGCTCCCGACAGCAGCGTTCTGCGCCGGACCACCCCCCTGGCCACCTTCGACCGAGCAATCCGCCACTAGGGCTGTCTCTACCACACACGGTCTCTACTGCGTAGCGCTCGGCCTCACAAACCCAACTCACAAACACCGCCAGGCCATCTACGCTACCGCTGCCACCTGTTTCTTGACTGCAGACAGCCCCTCATGTTTTGAACTCTTTTCTTCTCCTCTCGCCGCTTCGTGCAGGCCGTCGCCTTTACGTCCACGTTCCGCCGAAGCGCTTCGGCCACTTCCTCCATATATATATTTTGTTCATTCATTTTTAAATATTCCACAGGACACAACCACAACACACAACCACAGCACACAGCCACAACACACAACCACAAACATAGCCGCAAACACAACTACAAAAGACAATCGTAAACACACAACCACAAAACTGCAACGCAACCAAATATACAACCACAAACACACAGCCAGAAATGCGACCACAAACACGCAATCACAAACATAACCGCAAACACAACCACAACACACAACCACAAACAAAGAACCACAACACAGAACCACAAACACATAACCACAAACACAACTACAAAGACAAAATCACAAACACACAACCACCGCAAAGACACATCCACAACACACAGCCACAACGGATAACCACAGCACAGAACCACAAACAGATAACCACAACGCACAACCACAGCACACAACAACAACAACAACAACAACAACAACTTTCTTTCTTCTCACGCTCTCAAAGAGGTGCGCCACCCTTCAGTCGAATGTTATCGACTGGACTCCAAAGGAGATCTTCACAAGCATGGGACTCGTCGACTCGCCGTCGACAGTCTTGTCCAATCAGCCAAAATCAAATGGGATTGAATGTGTTCCCGATTGAGGCCTGACTCAAAAAAAGTACAATGCAAGAAATCAACTACGAACTAATCGCTTGGGGGAGTGAAGCAAGGTCGAGGCAAGTGCGTTCGACACATCGCCCAAACTCCTCCCACCCAGAATGAAACAAGAGGAAAAGAAACGATAAGAAACGTAATGCCCGTTCACTCAGTTCTGCGTTCACTTCAGCATCCGCCGTCCCCATGGCAGCCACCGCGGAGACACGCCATCAGCTGCTAGGCCTTGGTCGGGCAGCAGTAGAGGCCAAGATCCTGTCAATAGACAGGTCAGCCGCCTGAAGCCGCTGCAGCAGCAGACCTAGCGCTTCGTCCGAGGCCGGCGCAGCCGGCGGCTCAGCAGCAGCTGCAGCATCAGTCGCAGTTCCCTGTTCCCGCCAAGTTGCAGAAGGTGGGGCGCGAGATGCCTGATCCTTAATAGCCAAGTTACCCGTGCCCAAGATACGAAGGTGCGAGTCATCCCACATTGGCAGCTCCTGTGTGTCATGTGATCGGCCAAGGGGCGAGCACTCCATGTTGGGCTCAGCGTCCAGCGAGGCCGAGGTGGAAACAAAGCCACAGGTGTGGCGTCACTGCCAAGTTGCTCTCGTGCAACCTGTGTCAAGGTGAAGGAAGGTGTGGTCCAGCTAGAAGTATCCATTCCTGGGTTGAGCGGTCGGTAAAAATCAGGCATCGACGGAGCCAATTCATCGCCCGATTTATCCATCGCTCGGCTGGGGAGGGTCCAGAAAAGCACACTTCTGGTGTAAAAGAACTCCGGAACATGTTGGATGGCCTCAGGCGGTCTGTTATCATCGCAGATCCAAAGCTCACCTGTGGCCGGTTCCCGGAGCAGCGCACGAAAATGTCCACGGTGAGAATCACCAAGATGGGCTACTGCAGCTACCGTCACATGTTCCTCCCAATTGAGATCGAGTCCGTCATTGACAAAGAACGGAAGGTGGAAGGGGACCAAAAAGTCCACATGATGGAAATGACCTAGCAAGCGGGCGCAATCAATCAGTCGGTCAAGAAAGAAGACCTTTGGACCTCCTCGCTGTGTCAATGCTGTGGGCATCGAGTGGCAGTGGAGCCACGGAACAAGCAATGCAGCAAGTGTCGTTTGTTCGGCATCAAGCTCAAAGAGGTGTACCAGGGCAACAGGTTGAAAGTCGCCCCCTTTCTCTAGGCAGCAAGTTCCATCCGGTGTCACAAACCGTCTTTCCCATGCTTGTGATGCCCGGGAGGATTTGCACCATGCCAGCACTTCGCTTGTGAATTCAGCAATGTCTCGCTGATCACTCGAAGTCTGCCCCTCAAAAAGACCGGCCAAGGATGGATGGCTGGCTAGCTCAACAGACCGTACTGCCTCCCAAGCAGTACCAAAGGTGTATTCATCAAAACTCGTTGCATGGAGCAACGTCCAAATCAAAGTGACAAGGCCTGCATTAGCGTAGCACCAGTTGCCCTCGTTGCCACATTGAAGGATGTGAATCTTCTCAATCCATTGAGCCTTCAATGTCTCCCCCCTTGAGGGCGTAGGAGCTGGTGGATGTCCTGAGCAATCCGCGAGCGTTGTAGCCCGTGTTGTTTCAGGCGAGCTCCAATGAGATGCCAAAGTGAGGATCCCACCAGTTGTCTCATCAGGCTGGAGAGCGAGTCGTTCCGCAAGGAGATCTGGAGCTTCCAAGGCACAACTTCTCCTTTGCTCTGAGCTGAAGCCATCGCAAAGAACCGAACGCAATTGGCTGGTTCCTGGAAGGCCTGTTGTAGGAGCCCCAAATGAGACTCCATGGTGGCCCAAGAGATCGATTGACTCTGACCAATTACCAGTCGTTGCTGCTGGGAGTGCCGGACTAGATACGGGAAGCTCAAATCCTCCAGAATGGTCTGACTCTTTATGGCAGCTGTTTTGGTCTGTTCGTCCTCCAGTTGAAGTTTGAGTTTCTGAAACCGGGCGATCAGTTCGCTGACGATGGCCTGGATGAGGTAGCACCGCAAGGGAGTCTGAGCTTGGTCGTCTGGAAGGTCGCGCCATTGACTTGCTGATCGGATCAGCAAGGGTATGTCCCCGGAGTTCTTTGTCTGGAAGAAGATCACATACGAGTCCTGCATAGAAACCGAGTTCAGGGCATCCTCGTGCCTCACTAAGAGCTGCCCCATGAGCCGGCGCAATTTGGTCATCTGTAGCGGTTCCTCGCTCCTTGTCGAAGCTGTGGAGCTGGTCGAGTGAGCATCGTGAGGGGAGTGAGCACGATGTTGCCTCCTTCTCGGAGGTGCCTTGGAACTGTCGTCCTTCCTGAGTCGTTTCTCCTGACGTGGAACAAGGCCATTGAAGCTGGCCTCCACAGGTGGGTTTCAAGCCTG